AACCTACTTATGATTACTTGCTTACGTGTTTCTAATATTGTCCAGCTGACATCAAGAAAGCTATTTCATAACCCTATAGGCAAGCTAAACCAAAGCGAAGCCTTTCAAGCTACACGCTGAAAGAGCAACAAGGCTGATATACAGCTATGTTTCACTGTTGACAGTGAAAATAATGTTGAGTGAAGCATACATATCTCTGAATGCAAGTAAGCATTCCTGTAAGATGACTTCATACTGGAAGTTGAACCCAATATCATTAAAACGAAATACACATTTTGAATGTAATGGTTGTATCACAGCACCTAGGATGTATCAGAACACCGTAACATAAACACTTGATGGACTGCATCAAGCTTGCTACTGTCATTTAAAATTTACCTCACTTCCTTGGATATAAAAGGGCTGTAATGCTACTATATTACAGTCTTGTTAGCAAAATATTTTACTTTGGTGGCACAATGAAGTGCTTGGCTGAAGCCTCCCAGAGTTGCTTTGCATAAGCAGTATCACACTGAGATAAAAGATCAGATCCTGACAGCTCTGCTGTTGTATTAAAGCAGCACAACACTCAACCTAGTCAGCCCCAGCCTCTTGGCTACCACCTTCCTGCTCTGAAGATGGTTTTACTGCTTCTCTTCACATTTCCATATCACACTGTGCACATATCTCCTCAGATTTAAAAAGAAAATACACCCTCAGTCACTGGGCCAGTTGCAGAAGAAATGAAAAGAGAAATACTAAGTATTCCTCAGTAAAACTGCTACCTCTGCCTGCTGAAGTAAGCATCAGACAGACAGCCAACCTTTCACCCCTTCCCACCACTCACTGTCACACCTAAGAGCAAAGATAAACTGCAGCAGCAAGGTTTGTTGACGTTTATTTAAGGTTATTGCCCTCAACTGTCATCCTCACCTTCCTGTTAGAGATCACAATTCCTGCAGCAGAGGCAGCAAGGCAAACATGCGCCTCCAGCTCAGTGACACCAGTTGCCACACTGTGTGTTAGCTTGAAGATAAATGTTTGCTTTATCCTGACATCCTTGCCTCCGACTGTAGGTGTTGAAGCACTCCTGCCAATTCTGCAGTGAGGATGCCAGCCTTCAGAGGGGAGAGGGCTTCACGGCGGTAGCTGGCTATGGGCAACAATGTCGCTTCAGTCATTGCCAATCTGAAAATCAGGACCCAGAGCAGACAAGCTGCCTTTTCCTTTCATGGCTTGAAGAAAAATAGTTTCAGGGACAAGAAATCAGGGTAACGTTAAGAGTGGTTCAACTATGATGGAGTGTAAGGAGGACCCACCTTTCAGGCTCTGCCTGGAAGCCCTCTCCAGTCTGACGCTGGCTGTGAGTGAAGAGAGAGCTGCTGGACAGGAATCAGGATATCCAACAATGCATTTGAGGCTGCCTTACCATGCAGGATGCTGGTAAGAAAAGTTCATATGTAGCAAAATAGCAGAAATGGACTTCAAAATATTCAATTACACTGATAACTATCTGACATACCGTTTCCTGGATTGCTGCAGGAGTAACCTTTTTCTCAGGCAAATCCTAGCTTTATTCCTTCATAGTTCAGTCTCTGCCTGGTCTGTCTTCCTTTCAGTTGACTTTTATGCTGCTGACTTCAATGACTGCTATCATCTCAAAATATCATGGCCAAATGATCCAAGAAATATTCCAAGCCTCCCCCTGATTGCTTCTTTCTTCCATAGATACCACCACTCGCTTCTGTATCACATAAATTACTTTGTTGATTGCTTGTTTCTAGAACAATCTGAGCAAAGAGAGCTCATCTTGTTAACAAGCCCTAATTTCACCATTTATCCTAAGTTTGCTCTCACAGGAGCTGTAGAACTTACAAGTCCCCTTTTATCAAAGCACCATAGAAAGTTTGGTGATTTCTGAAGATGAGAGTCATTCTGCATTACCTGCTGGTCTGCATTAACATACCTAAGACATAAATCACACTTCTATTCATGATAAGATTTCAAATGGTGGGAAGTCAGTAATGAGTATGCTCAAGAAGAAAAGGACATCACACTCTCATTACAGCATAGAAGTGTTTTTGAACACTCTTCTCAGTGGCCTACTGAGAAATCATCTTCCAGAAATTCTGCCTGCAGACAGCAAAAAGAGCTTCCTGTTATTCTTTCTCTTTGTACACCATCCTTAAAGATTTCTGGTTTTGTCCTCAAAAAGGCACCAACTCCAATAATCACGGTATCAGAGATTCATACTAAATAAAATACATCAACTTGCTTCAGGAGGGTGTCTTCTGACTAAAGTTAATGGCCACAACTTCAGGCAGAGTGGGAAAAGCAGAGTAGCAGATAGAGCTTCAATCAAAGATCCCACTGATATCATTCAGAACGTGAAGAAGTCACTGTTCAGTCATTAAGTGTCAATAGATACGTGCTGGTCAGGATTTCAGCCGGCAAACCAGAAGGCAAGCAAGCAACTATCAGAAAAGCCCAACTGTCATAACAGAGCAATAGGAACTGCTTCTTCAAGTTCTGCCCATGACGTACAGAAAGTAAACACGCATTGCACTACATCCCATAGGTATCACAATGGCGTAACATCTCTCTGGACTTTGTTTTTAATAAACACACAATTTCTGAGCACAACGTTAACCATGCAACATTTATAATGGCCTTTGTTAAAAACTGAATAGATGCTGACAGCCCCAATCCAACACACGTTCTACAAAAAGAATATGACAACAATAAATCATATATACAGAAATAGAGAAATTAAAAAATGACTGTTTTTTCAGAGACTAAAGAAATGGTGGGATAGCTGAACGAGAATGTTAGGAGTAGACAGTTATCAGCTTCAGCATTTTTGGATAATAACCTACATACTCAAAAATGTATTCATTTTTATTTAAGGATGCCTGCATTTTCAGCGTTACACTGTAGTTGATGGCAGTTAATCTGGGATTCTTAACAGTGAGTAAATGCTAACATAGCAGTAACATTCTGCACGGTTTTCCAAAAAATGTACATGGGGGCAAATAAACCCCTCTGCTTTTGGACAGCTTGCAGGGCTGGCTGAGAACAGTGACTCATGCTAGGGGTTTCTCTTAATACAGGTAACAAATATGACAAGATGCCTTAACCTAAAAGTTTGCTAAATGAGGGCATCGATTACAGAGTCATTCCCCTGACTGGTCTTAAAACATTGCTACTGAAAAGGTATGAATGCAGAGCCTGTTTTGAGCAGTCTCTTTGGAACAGTTCTCAATTTAGGACTATTTAATTAATTTTAAAAAATTAAAAAATTAGATAGGAAAGTGATATAAAACATTTGCCAACTAAGTGCAGAGATAACAACGTCACAGTAGTAAGGCAGTTCAGTAATACAAAGTTACATTAATCACGCATAAAGCGATTTCAGTTCTCCAAGATGCCCTGAATACTGAAGAAGTTGGCAAAGTTAGGCACAATCCCAGGCAAGAGACACCTATTTAATAATACAGGAACTTAAGAAAATGAATAACTGTCTCAAAATAAGCTCTCAATGCAGTGCAGAGGAAGTATGTGCCTATACATAAATAGGACTGTCAGAAAAAAATTGGCATTGATGAGGCCAGCAGTACGGTATCACACTTCCCTTCAGGAGGATAACACAAAGAAAAACAGGGGAGATACACAGAAGCTGCTGCTTGTGGTTGTGTCCTAAGAGACATAGAGAGTGCATCTGCTATGAATAGAGAACACTTTCCAACCCTGCTAAGGGAGTCGTAACAGAATCCCATCTGAGAAGTTAGTAAACAGCCAAAACGATGTGTTGTTTCTCAATGTGGAGGACTTACTGAAGGATGAAATGGACTCATCATTTAAAATGAGAACAAAGTCTTAAAAAGTCTCCCTTAACTTGTCCCAAGAGCAAAACAAAGCACATTCTTGAGCAAGATGACATAAATGTGGACTTCAAGGTACTTTCCTCTTCAGAGTCATTGGATTCCCCCAGTTTCCTGAAGCCTGCCCATAAGGTTATGAGAAAAATCAGTATGGAAGTTGTGCACGCGCTAATTTTAATTACTTTAAATAATATCTATTGACTTAGGGGCTTCCTCTCCCTGCTTGCTCAGAAGGATATGACTCTTTCTCATGCTGTCCAACCATTCAAGTCGTTTGGCTGGAGAAGAGAGAGCAGGATCCTTTTGAACCAACAGAGACCTGTAATCAGCTGGAGCCCAGACAGCAAGCGACACCAACAGGTCCACTTCTTCAGAGTGTGCTTCTACACTTCCTTAGAATCCCAGAATCATTAAGGTTGGAACAAAACACTAAGATCACTTAGTCCAATCACCAACCCATCACACCATGCCCACTGCCCACGTCCCTCAGTGCCACATCCACACGGTTCTCAAACACCTCCATGGATGGTGACTGCACCACCTCCCTGGGCAGCCTGTGCCACTGCAGCACCACTCCTTCTGAGAAGCGATGTTTCCTAAAACCCAACCTGAATCCCCACGGCACAACTTGAGGCCATTCCCTCTCATTCTATTGCTGTTACCTGTGAGGCCGACTCCCACCTCACCACAACCTCCCTTCAGGCAGTTATAGAGAGCAGTAAGGTCTCCCCTGAGCCTCCTCTTCTCCAGACTGAACAATCCCAGTTCCCTCAGCTGCTCCCTGTAAGACTTATGCTCCAGACCCCTCACAGCTTCGTTGCCTTCTCTGGACACGCTCCAGAGCCTCGATGTCTTTCTTGGAGTGAGTGGTGCAAAACCGAACACAGCACTCACCAGAGCTCAATACAGATCGCTCTGTCCCGCTGGCCGCATTGCTATTCAGAGCAACAAGTGGGAGCAGGAGGCACCTGGAGAACCAGCAGAGCGGCTGCTTCCAGCTCTGAGCTTTCAGCCAGACCGAGAGGCGGGCGAGGCTTGTCAGCAAGTTACACCAGCGAGAGTGCCGCTGTCCCGAGGCTTGGTGCGGGCTGTAGATGAGCCGCAGCCCCCGCCCAGCAGCCCCCCGCCCCGCCGGCTCACCCGCGTCGTAGAAGGCGTCCAGCACCGCCGTCTCCCCGAAGTCCAACTCGCCGAAGTTGACCGTGCCGAGCTGCGCACCCTCCGCCTCGCACGCCCGCAGCAGGCACTGCCTCGCCCCGGCTTCGGGGCTGCGCGCCCCGGCCCCCGCCTTGGGCGGGTCGTTCAGCACGTACACGGCCCGCAGGCAGCGGGACCGCGGGGCCGTCGGGCCGCCCTCCGCCGTCTCCCCGCCGCCCTCCGCCGGGACGGGGGTCGGCGGCTCCGGCTCCGCGCCGGCGTGCGCCGGCTCCGCCGCCGCGCCGCCCGCGGGGCTCTCCATGGCGGCTGCCGGCAGGTGCTCAGGCGGGGCCGCGCCCCATCGCCAGCCCGAGGGCGAACTCCGGCCGCGCCCGGCCGGGCGGCACCCGAGGGCGCCGAGGCGAAGGCCGAGCTCCGCGCCGCCCTCCCGGACGGGGCAGCCCTGAGGGCCGGCGGAAGCGCAGCCCCGGGCGCACCGCGTCCCGCCGCCACCAGAGCGGGACTGAGGGGAGGCGGCACCGTCGGGGCGACCGCGCCTCGCGCCTCGCTTTCCTTCCCCGCCCTTCGCTGGGCAATCCGCCTCCGCGCACCGCCCGCTCCCCGCGGTCACTGCTGTTACTTGAAGTGGCGGCCCAGCTCGGCTGTGCTCGGAGGGGGTGAGCAGCGCCCTGTGCCCGTGCAAAGCCGGAGTCCGTCTGCTGCTGTCAGCCCGAGTCTCCGGGCTGTTCCCGAAGCAGCAGAAACCACTGTTGCTGCCTGTTCTTCCCTCAGCCCGGTGTATTACGCCCTTTCCCTTATCTTTCCACTTATCGTTTGAATGATCTTGACCATAGATAGATCAGCTGTGCCAAAAGCTTGAGAAACAAAGTATCCTTCAATTCCTCTTATTTCTTTAAAATCTCCCGTGATCGTGGATTCATGATCCAGCTTCATGGTACCAGTGAAAAGAACCTGGTCCCATCCACTAGTCACCTTCCCTGTAATGATAAGACCCCCTCTCAGCCTTCTCTTCTCCAGGCTGAACAGCCCCAGGTCTCAGCCTTTCCTCATACAGGAGATGCTCCAGGCCTCTCATCATCTCTGTGGCCCTCTGCTGGGCTCTTTTCACAAGTTCTGTCTCTCTTGAACTGAGGAGCCCAGATCTGGACACAGTACTGCAGATGTGGCCTCACCAGGGCAGAGTAGAGGCAGAGGATCACCTCCCTCAACCTGCTGGCCAGGCTTTTTTAATGCATTTCAGGGTACCATTGGCCTTCTTGGCCATGAGGGCACATTGCCAGCTCATAGTCACCCTGCAGTCCACCAAGTCCTTCTCTCAGCTTTGTATCTCAGCTGTCAGAAGGGTGCCGTGGCACGCACTGAAATCAGGAAAGCCAAGAACCAAAGGAACTGTGGAAACCATGAGGCCTTGAGTGAATTTGGATTGGAAGTAGTAAGCCTGGCTGGAAAGCCTGTTCATCTCACTTTTCACTTAGGGCTACAAACAAGTTTTAAGAGAACAGCATCTTTACCTTCTGATGCAGCCTTGCTCCCTACTGCTATCTGAGATTAATATTTTTACCACATGCCATAATACAATAAAAGCAACTTATTGCACACTATTTTCTTCTGTGGGCGTCTGGCACTGTGGCCTTGTGACCAAAAGAGGGGTTCCAGTAGCCAGTTGTTCTGAGAGACTCTCCAAGATGGGGATAGCAATGTGCAATGTGGCTCAACATGGATGCAGAAAAAACACATGAGAGGCAAATCTGTCTCTCATTTTGGAGAGTCTGAAGCAAGTAAGCTGTTGCATTTGCTGCAGAGGTTGAGATTCCTGTTTTATTTACAAAAGCACCAGTATGGGAAACTTTGGAGAAATTATCTACTTTGGCTGCTGGTGCTCCTACCCCTTCCTGGAAGTTTTCCTCTCTAGGGGTGAGTAAGCCTTTCTCTTTGACACCTCTAGCTCTATTAGCCTTGAACCAGCAAGGCAACAATTTTCTGATGTAACAGGAGGAAAACGTAAATCCATGAGTGGAAGTACCTCAATGTGCATATGGCAGCCTTCAGCTGACAAATACTGCTAACTCACGTTTCTATGGTTCTCCCCAGCACAAACCCTACTTTGTATTTTTTGCAATATAAGAAAGTTTAGCTGAAAAGCTGGTACTGGAATAAAAAATACAATGTTGTAAAATTTAAGGGATTATTTATACAGGAAATCTTACTCAAGTGTGTTCTTAGGCTCTCAACAGCTAACATGCAAAAACAAATTGCAGTTGAGTGGGTTCAGAACAATGGAGGCGTGCTGTGGTGCTCCCTGTAATCTTGAAAGTTGTTGACGTGTTAATTTGGAACAAATATGTGGGCTGGAATTGCTTAGTGGGATGCTGCTGAGACATAATAAAAAAGCCTTTTCTGCCTTCTAGAGATTATCACAATCCTGTTTCCTTGTAGATAGAAGATGTGTCTTTGGGTTCCATTCTGCAGACATTAACATTCAGTATCATTTTGCATTCCATGCTGAGAGGTCTGTCTCTTCATCTTGGAACAATCTCTCTTCATAGATATTTAATGTACAACGAGACTTTTCCTCTTCTGTTGATTATATTCACTCTTCTTCCAAGCAATATCCTTACTGTTCCTCTGGCATTTTCCCTAACAAGCTGCCACATTCTGAAGATTCATTTTCAGTAGTTCAACATGGTGCCATTTGTTGTGCTCATAGACTTTCTTTATAGCTGGGAACAAGGAGTACTTTTAAGGGAAGAAGCTTCATTTTGTATGCTGCAACTGAGCCTGATGTGGACTGATATTTCAACTGAATACCAGTATCTTCAGGTCTTGCAAGTTACCTGAGTGAGAACAAGCAGGAAATTCACTTTGAAGTGGGGGTGGGGAGTTGTCGTGTTTCTTTGCAAGTAAAAAGTTGAATCATTACCTAAGAGCCTTCTCTTCTTCAGGCTGACAAGCCTAACTCACTCAACCTTTCTTGTGAAGAGAGGTGCTCCAGCCTTCTGAGCATCTCTGTGACCTCCTCTGGACCTGTTCCAACAGCTCCAGATCCTTCTGCCAGGGTCCCCAGATTTGGACTCACTACTGCAGATGATGGGCCCTCATGAGAGCAGAGCAGAGGGGGACAATCTCTTCCCTGTCCCTGCTGCCACTCCTCTTTTGATGCAGCCCAGGATGCAGGTGGCTTTCTGGGCTGCAAGCTTACACTGGTCCCGTTGAGCTCACACAAGCTCTTGTTGGGCTTCTCATCAACCAACACTCCCAAATCCTTTTCCACAGAGCTACTCTTAATATGTTCTCTGCCCAGCCTGTCTGTGCTTGGGATTACCCATACCCAGATGCAGAACCTTACACTTGGACTTCTTGAATTTCATAAGGTTTGCACAGGCCCACCTCTCAAGCCTGTCAGTGTCCATTGGATGGCATCCCTTCCCCTCAAGTGTGTTGACTGCACCATCCAGCTTGGTGTTGTCCACAAACTTCCTGAGGATGCACTCAATCCCACTCTCCATGTTATTGACAAAGATGTTAAACAGTGATAATGGTAAACACTTTGTTAATTAACTTGTTGGTAGTACTGTTTCTACTGTGCTCTCCACTTATTTTCATTTACAGTGAGCAGGTATCCAAGTAACCATACAGATACTGCTCTTATATGAATGAGAAGAAAATTGTTATTGTATTTATTGAACAAGAAAATAAGATTTATATATTGTTAAGTATGCATTCATATAAAAACCATTCTCTTTTTTAAGGTCATCAAATAAAAGCTTTACCAGAGTCTAAAAAAGATCCTGTGAATTCCCTTTAAGAAGTCCAGCAAAGCTGCTTTGTTTTGTTCAAAATCTCAGATTCAAAATATTGTAGATATACAATGGCAGCTAAATATCATGAATGAGCCTTGAAGGGGAACCTCACAAAGAGCGCCTACAAATGCCACAAGCTCAGAACACTGACATGCAGGCAGTTTTGCTTTGCAAGGGTGCCCAAAATTGGCATGAACTCTAAACACCATACAGTCACTGAATCAGCATTCGTTTTCTATCACTGGAAAGCGCAAGACTTCATGTGCTCATCTGACCTGCTGACAGAATGAGGGCAAAGCAAACAGCTGCTGGTGCAAGGACACAATCTCTTAGTGCAGCTTTCTGCTCAGATCTCTGGTGTGCAGGATTAACTCAGCTTCTCCAGATCACAGCCCGTCATCAGTCCAACTGAAAACCACTCATCACCTCTTTTCAACACATTTCACATGACTTTGCATAACCTTTCTGAAGTTTATACTTCTGATGGGAAGAAAAGCAAACCAGGCCCCAATCCAGTGCTCAGCTGATAGACATTAATACTTTGAAGACATAAGCACTAGATTTCTCCATTCACACGGCCCCCTGACATGATTAATGTTTTCAATTTTGCAGTCCTAGACCTGACAAATCTTTTCCCATGTTGGGTCTCTCTTCAACTGAGCAGATCAGAGGGGTCAGAAGTATGCAGTTCCTGTAGGAACAAGAAGGAACTCCAAGTGGCTGGTATAACATTTGTGAACTTACTGAAAATCACATATTCATCCTGGGTCTGACTATTTTTCTTGTCTTCAACTTGATCAAAGTATCCTCAACTTCCTTATTTGTCATGGCTCAGTGCTTTCTGTGTGGTTGTTCTTTTGGACTGTTCTAAGACAAGGTCCCTACCTTCATCCTCTCCCAAGTTACTTGTCACTGAAAGAATATCCATGACTTGGTCATCTGGGCCAATGGGCTCATTCCATCTGCTGATTAATGAAATTCCAGCAAAATTGTGACTATAGCAGGGAATTCACTTAAACACATAGTGGAGACATCTAGACTCCATGATTTGACTAGTCTTACATTTCTCTAGATGCCAGGTACAAAAGGCTGTATGAGACTTACAAACTCAGCAAAAGACGTCCATGCTTAAAAACATTTTAAACATCCGTAATCATGATGGTTATGTTGTTATCAGTTGGTACTATGGAAGAAGAATAATCTTGAAGAGGCAAAAATCCCTCTGAAGTGACAAATCAAAAACCTCATCTGTTCTGCTGGTACTCACTTTTACAGTAGGTAGCATTGAAAACTTCATACATTTAGACTGATAAGTAGTGGGCTTTTATGATGGTGTCACAGCATCAGTTGACAAGGAAAGAGCTACTAGATGACTATTTAAGGACTTCAGTAAGGCCTTTGACACAGTAACCCACAACATCCTTCTCTCCAAACTAGAAAGATATAGATTTGATGGCTGGACTGTTCAACAGACAAAGAACTGGATGCAGGATCGTTCAGA